TAACGTACACATCCCGTGCCCCACATTTTCCCCCATTCCCTTCCCTTCCCTTCCCTGGCCCTTTCTTTCCCCCTCCCTTACATCTTACCACCCTCGCTCTCACCATGCAAAGAGCGAGCGCCACATGCCAAAGTACAGATACGGTGTGGTGACTCCCGGAATCTGCATGCCTGCTGTCTCGAGCGTGCGCGATAGCAGCGTTGATAGAGACCCCACGTTCCAGCCCTGAAAGAGGGGGGAAGACGGGAAGAGGAACAAGGGGATGGGGACACGAGGGGAAGCAATTGGGGCGCACAATATGACCCACCTCACCCTCGGAATCTGCATGCCTGCTGTCTCAAGCGTGCGCGATAGCAGCGTTGATAGAGACCCCACGTTCCAGCCCTGAAAGAGGGGGGAAGATGGGAAGAGGAACAAGGGGACGAGCGGAAACGATTGGGGGGCACCGCATGAAACCCCACAACTCATCTGCATGCCTGCTGTCTCGAGCATGCGTGATAACAACGTTGAGAGACACCCCACGTTCCAGCCATGGGGAAAGGGCATGGGGAGGGAGGGAAAAGGGAGGGGGAATGAAAGAATGAGAGGGAGAGGGGAGAGGGAGAGGGCGACGAGTGGGGGAGAGTAGTGGAAAAGGACAAGAGGAGAGGAGGGGAAAAGGGGAAGAGGGTTAATGGATTGAGTTCACAATAAGGCCCTCCCACAATCTGCATGACTGCTGCCTTGAGTGTGCGTGATAAAAGCGTTGACAGAAACGACCCATGTTCCTACCCTGGGGGGGGGGGGAAGGAAGGGGGAAGAGGGAAGAGGGAAGAGGGAAGAGGGGAAAAGGAGTAAGATTTGGGCCTGTCGCAGTTTCTCTGCCCCACTGCCAACGGCAAGGGTGACAGGCAGACGGCAGTTAGCGGACCGAGTACGGATAGCCGTCAGCTTTCAACTGTTGAATGACGGCATCAGTGAAGTGAAGCGGTTGAATAAAGCAACCGAATATGATAAGTCGACTCAAAACTCGACTTATCAAACTGTTGAATGACCGCATCAGTGAAGTGAAACGGTTGAATAAAGCGACCGAGTAGCTCACTCGGGCGTTTTCCCACCACTGTTTTGCAACGACTGACTGGGCAACGGTCACTCGCGCTCGCACTCTCCCCCCCGTTCTTGCTCGTGCTCGCGCGTGGAAACTTGAGCTCTCTTGTATGCCCATGATCTATGCGCGCGGATGCGCGCGCGCGCACACACACACACAGACACACATGCTCACACGGTAACATGCGCACACGGTAACATGAACGCACACATGGTAACACGGACACACGGTACCATCCACATGCTAAAATGCAAACACGGTAACATGCACACACTGTAACATGCACACACTGTAACATGCACACACTGTAACATGCACACACTGTAACATGCACACACTGTAACATGCACACACGGCAACATGGACACAGCTTACATGCACGCAAGATAACATGCGCACCAAGTAACATGCACACACGGTAACACAGAAGCACACTAACATGCACACACGGTAACACAGAAGCACACTAACATGCACACACGGTAACACAGAAGCACACTAACATGCACACACGGTAACACAGAAGCACACTAACATGCACACACGGTAACACAGAAGCACACTAACATGCACACATGGTAACACAGAAGCACACTAACATGCACACACGGTAACACAGAAGCACACTAACATGCACACACGGTAACACAGAAGCACACTAACATGCACACATGGTAACACAGAAGCACACTAACATGCACACATGGTAACACAGAAGCACACTAACATGCACACATGGTAACACAGAAGGACACTAACATGCACACATGGTAACACAGAAGCACACTAACATGCACACATGGTAACATGCATACACGGTAACATGTACACATGCTAACATGCACACACACTAACTTGCACACACGCTAACTTCCACACACGCTAACTTGCACGCACGCTAACTTGCACACACGCTAACTTCCACACACGCTAACTTGCACACAAGCTAACTTGCACACACGCTAACTTCCACACACGCTAACTTGCACGCACGCTAACTTGCACACACGCTAACTTGCACACACGCTAACTTGCACACATGCTAGCTCGCACACATGCTAGCTTGCACACACGCGAACATGCACACTACAACACAACACCATACCGTGCCATGCAAAACACTGTGCAGCAGCAGAGTAGCAGCACTACCACCACCACCACCACCACCACCACCACCACCATAGCAGCAGCAGCACACACCTGCACACCTAGACGGCATAAGACTTCTTGACAACCAGCTTGACCCAAAACACACTATCCTGTCATGCTGCGGACCAGCACCACCATTCCCAGCACCATCAGCACCTGCAGCAGCAACAGCACAGCACCACCAGCAGCACAAGCACCACCCACCTGCACGTCGACATCGAAGAACGAGCCGAGCCCGTCGGCGCCATAGAGCGGCGAAGAGTTGACTTCTGAGCTCTTACCATCACCACCCTTACCACCCCCAGCACCAGCAATCCCCCCCACCACCACCCACCTGCACGTCAGCATCAAAGAACAAGCCGAGCCCGTCGGCGCCGTAAAGCGGTGGCGAGTGCACTTAAGAGTCAATCCACTTAAAAGTCAACTCTTATCATCAGCACCCCAACCACCACCTTTACCACCACCAGCAACCCCACCAACTACCCACCTGCACGTCGGCATCAAAGAACGAGCCGAGCCCATCCGCGCCGTAGAGCGGCGGCGAGTGCGTGACGTTCTTCCAGAAGCTTCGCTCGATGGACGTCTGCATGTCCGCTAGGGTTAGCTTCCCACCCACGTGCCCGCACTGCTTGCTCCGCTTGCTTCTCTTGCATTTCTTGCTCTGTCCGCTGTGCTTGCATTGCTTCTGACGGACATCATCAGGAACACCCCTCTCCGTGCATTCATCCCTGTTACCGTCACCGTCACCGTTACCGTCACCGTTACTGTCGCCACGGCTGCTGCTACAGTGCTGCTGCTGCTGCTGCTCCACGTCCCCGCTACTGGCGTCTCCGCTCTCTCCACAGCGAACATCGCTCGTCGATTCTCCATCCCCGTTACTAGCCTCCTCCCCTTCGCTACTGCCGCTACCAGAAGATTCTGCAGCGTCAGTACCGTCAGAAGCGCAAGCGGCGTTCGCGGCGTCAGTCGCGTTCCCCAAGCAGCAGATATCCCCGTCATCCCCCCACGGGCCGCGGTGCTCCTTCGAGTGCGCCGCCTCGCGAAACTCGCGCACCGTGACCGACTTCGTCTCCACGTGGATCGACTGAAACACGCCGCGACTGCCGGACACGTGCTGTTTAATCGGCTTCGGGATCGTCCAATCCTCCACGTCATCATACCCACGTGATCGCGGCTGCCACTCAGGCGGCGGTTCGATCACGCAGATCCCGTATTCCCACGCCTCGGCTTCGATCCGCTCCACGTAAGCTTCGAATCCGACCGCCATTTCCTCTAGAGTTGGCCGGAAGATCGGCACTTGCGCGTCGCCGAACATGCCGCCGGCAGCCGGGCATACGCGGCGTTTGAAAGCCCGGCGCATATTTTCGGGTTTTCTCTTCTGCGGTTTCTGAATAGCCAACGGTGGAGCGTTTCGGCTTTCCCTGCCGCTTTCAAGTAGCCCGATGCAACGGGTTTCGCCTGGTTGCCGCGAATATCCAGCGCCTTATCTCTAGTCTCCGCCTCTTGTCTCGTCTCTGAGGTTTTTCTCTCGCTCAAGTCGCTCGTGTCCCGTTTCCGCCGTTTCCGCCGTTTTCTAACGGCTCTCCGTTCCCCAAACCCTAGCGAACTAGCACGCAGCTGCGAAAAACTACCAGATCTGGCCGTGAACAGTTGACGGAGCGCGGACGGAAGGTGGACGGACTTCGAGCAGCCTCCTCCCGAGGAGCGTGAACGGAAGGTATAAGGAACGAATCCGGGTAAAACAGGAAAGCGAGTGCTTTACCTAGAGTTTATCCCGCGATGACGAGCGGCGGGGACGGCGGAAAGAGATTAACCGCGAAGGGACCTGGCGCGTGGCGAGGAGCGGGCAAACGATCTGAAGCCTGGATCGTACGGCTCTGGCCAAGAGGGTAATCTCTCGCTCACCTGGTGGTGTTGTGCTGGCGTGTGTGGGATGGTGCGGTGTACGATTTTACGTGGTTGAATGCGGTCAGATGGTGTGGTCCCCTTCCCTCTTCCCCCTTGCACCCTCCCTCACGTTGTGCTCGAATCTTGTTGGCCTTGAGGGCGTTTGTCGTCTGGGGTTCGTGCGACTCCCGTGGGCGGGATGTGTCGCATGCGCTGGCGTGTAGTTTCTAGTTTACCGTATGCTGCTCTGTATGCTCTCCGGGGCACTGATCTATGCTTGTATCGCGGATTCAGGAACAATGTGCTGCCGAGCCAAGCTAGGGCGAGCAAAGCTGAATCTAGCAGGGGAGAGCTGAGCTGTGCTGTGCTAACCAGGGGGAGCAAATCTTCTGGAAGCATGGACGACGCTCCGTTTCTGGCTGGGTGGATGGAGCAGCATAGAGCGTCCAGGTGTGCCGAGCGGAAGGCGAGGCAAACCTCTCTGGTGTACTGTAGTGATCTGAAACCGAGACAACTACACGAACTGTAATAAATTTCGCTCAAAGCCCACTAACTTTATTATGGGGTCATTACTTGCGAGCCTGTATACATTCCCATTACCATAAAAGAACACATTCCAGAGTAATTCATCAAGCTAGTATGTGTGATTAGGGCGGGTCCAGCACGTACGTTTCCAGCTGGTGTACAGCTGGTGTACGCACTAGATCATTCATCACTATGGCCAGGCCAGCCCTTAATCACCAGGGCAGCCCAAATTCACATAGCAAGGGGATTTTGGCCAAGTCTGGTCCCTGAAAAATTGCAAGCTTCTTCTGTAATACAAGATACAAAAAAAAATACTGTTGATATTATTCCATTTCAAGGATGAGCACTCGAATCACAACTCTGTATGCACTCCTGACATATCAGGAGCCCAAGGCGGTGGAGTGTTCACATTACTGTAGTACTTAGGAAGCACCTCCCCAAGAAGGTACATGGCCGCTGCAGCTATGCCCACCAGCAGGGCAAAGGTCAGTGCCAGCTTGATCAGCTTGATGAAAAAGTTCTCATCCTTCACGCCTGATCTTGGAAGCACCCCTCCCGGATAGAGCTCACGCAGGTCCTGATGAGGGCGTGGAAGGGATGAGGAGAAATCATTTATGGAAGAGAGTGGTGAGTGATGCAGGTACACGGGAATGGAGCCGTAATAGGAGAAGTGTGGGACAACGGGATGAACAGGTTGGTTGGGCCTAACAGCAGCCCAGCTGCTGCCCAGCTGCAGCCCAGTTAGCGCCAGACAATATAGCAGCGGCAGTCATTGGTCGGGACAGTCCTCAAGTCAGGCTCAGCGTCACAAAACGGAAACTACGAGCTTGCACAGCACAGCTGCAACGGAGGTGCACCACAGGTATGCTTGTCCATGCAACATCCTTTCTGTGTGTTACCAATCCATCCCTCACATCCTTCTCCTTGTTGGCAGGCCTCCTCCAATCAACACGATCGACCTACCCATCCACCCATCCTCCCATCAACCCACCCAGCATTCACACGATTCCAGCAAGCCCTTGCATTTATCCCTCTCACCATGGCGTTTCGAATCTGTGGTGGCTCGTCTTTTCCTGCCAAGCCCTTTTCGAATAGAGTCTGCGGCTTCTTTGGCACAGGCTTTGCTGGTGCGGCTGTTGCTGCTGGGCAGGAGGGTGGGAGGGAGGGAAGAAGCAGCAGTGGAGCGAGAGTGGAACCAGAGTTGGAAACACACAGGAAAAAAGTCAAGACATTGGGTAAAAGGGGGGAAGGGTGGGGGGGGTTGGGTGGGGAGGGAGGGGGGAAGAAGAACTGGGAAAATTCCCAATGTGCGTCGTGTTGTTTAAGCTTCTTCTGCTTTTCCCCACTTTCTTGCCTTCTCCTGGGTTCAAGTTGATTAGAATGGCTTCAAATACGTCCATACACCCGCGAACTCCTTCTTCTAAAGATCACCACTCCCCACACCTCACCTGCCACCATTACAGCATGCGACTACACACATTGGCGACCTTTTCCACACCCAAGCAACCCCGCGAAACGCACGCCGCACCTCCCCCCCTTCCCCCATCCCCATACCCCAACACGGTCCCCTCTTTTGCTCAACTGATTTCTTTCCATCCCCTGTTCCCTGTGTCCAATCTGCAAATCCCATCACTTCGATCATAAGCCCTTCCCGTCATAATCCTTGTCTTCCTCGTCCCCCTACTTCCCTCATATCCATCATCTCCGTCAATTTCGGCAACTAACCTGGGCCTCGCACCCTCGCGATCAACGGCCACTTGGGTCCTCCCGCGCCCTCGGGAAGCTCGTCCAGCGAATCCGACGCCGACAGCTGGCGCGCCTCCTCCGCATTTCCCGCCGCGCCCGGCGCAGCCGGGAGCGTCACGAAGACGCGATGAACGGGAACGCTTTCCGAGCCGGACGATGCAATGCTCTCAGCGAGTCGCTCTTTTAGGTCTAGGATCGTCGCGTTTTCGCCGAGCGAGGCGCCTCGGATGCGAATCGCGTCGGATAGGTCTTCCCCTGGGAACTCCACGCGCATCCAGATGTCGTCGCGGGGCTGCTTCGACCGCAATTGGGCGGGACCTTGCGACTCTGATTCCGCCATCGGAATTATGATTTTTTCGCTGCGGGGTTGAAATACACACGTTTCGCGCAGAACTGGTTCGCTGTTCCCAGGAACAGGCCTGGTGTTCTGGGTGATGACGTCAAGGTAGTCGATGGAACGAGAGTACTGCAAGAGACCACAGGCCCAGTGGAGAGGATAAAAGGAAACGTTTCTCTGAAACTGGAAGCGAGCGGGAGACCACAAAAGCGGTGACCTTGAGGCCACGTGGATCACGTGGAAGGAGGAGCGGAGCAGCAACAAGCAAAAGCAGGCGAGCACGACCCGCAGCCCTTATAGCGCCAGGATAGGAGTTGAAAGCGGTGAACAGCACTATTTCCGTTTCGTTCTCAGCACCGTACTTAACCGACCTTCTTCACAAGGGGGTAGGTAGGGCGAATACGAACCAAACATAGCCATCGAGAGTTGTGCGACTCGCACGTGGTTCAGAAACTGAAGGTTTCCCGCGAAATTGGGAGCGTCCGATTGGTGAAAAAAAAATCCCGAGGCTGATGCGTAACCAGCTCAGGCCGCAGGCGATGTGGGCCAAAGCTACCGCGGGGCAACTCAACCCGAAAGTCTTGGGATTTGGAACAGAGGGGTAAGTGTTCACCATCTGTAGATAGATAAATACAATTCTGTGCAAGTACACAATATTATACATGTCTCCAGCAGTAAATCTGCACATGCTCCAAGTTCTAAGAGAGCTGGCCATACACCCCAAGCACAGTTATGTCATGCAAAAACAGGATGCCAATGAGTTTTTCTTCCTCTACAATTACAGCTCGTGTGTCCTTCATGGACCCTACCAAAAAACTACGATACCACATTTGGCAAATAAATCTCGCACAGATGTACACATGCCCCAACACAAACATTCCCCTCACTGCGCCTCGGTGGCAGCATTTGCGACGCGGGTCACTGTGTCATAGGGGTCCTGCCGCCCGGAGAGGTTGCTGTGTTTGAGGTCCATAAGGTATTTGTGGTTGAACTTGTCGCTGCCCCAGTACCCATACGCCTTCACTGGGTGTGCCCACATGCTCTTCAGCTCCTCGCACTTGGCCTTGGTTTGCTGAGAGAAACGTGAGTCGGATAAGGAGGGGAGGGAATGGAAGGCAAAAGAAGGGGATCGGATCGAAAGACCTTTGAGTCGATTCAAAAGTCACTGGGTGTGCCCACATGCTCTTCAGATCCTCGCACTTGGCCTTGGTTTGCTGCAGAAAGGTGTTTCGGATGGGATGGGGAGGGAATGGAACGCAGGGGAAGGGGATGGGATGAAAAGGAGGGAGTGGAGGGGATGCTAGAGAGAGCAAAGCAGGGCAAGGAAGGCAAGGGAAGGGATAGGAGGGAAGAGGGAAAAGGGAAGGAAAGGATTGGGGGAAAAAACAAAGTGACAGTAAGAGAAAGAAGGAAAGGGAATGGGTGGGAAGATGAAATTCATGACGCCATCTCTCCCACCCTCGTCCGAAAGACATAACCACGCCTGGTCTACCCAACGGTGTAAAGCAGGAAAAATCGGAGGACTTTTGGTCAGTCGAAACGATCTGTACAGTGAAGGAAAGAAGGTAATGGGTTCGTACAAACCACGGTTACACAACAAAGGGCCAAAGCAGCAGCCAGAGAAAGAGAATTTAAAAAAGAGAAGATTTCAAATATCGCTTTGAAGCCTACCTCTCTCACTCTCTTCTTCCCCCACTCTCCCCCCCCCAGCTCTCCACCTCCTCCCTTCCTCCTCCCCTCCATCCGTCACACCCGCTCACTCTCCCTTCCTCCCCAGCCTCCCTGCCCTTTTCCCAAGCGCACCATCCCTCCACTGTCTCTCACAAGGTAACCCTAATTTTCACACACGACCCTCAAATACACAGTCGTGATCACGACTTCCCTGTCGTATGTCTACCCACTTGGCTGACATACCCTAGCCACGTGGCTGCTCCTCGGACCTGATCCTGTAACCTGGTTCACTCCCACTTCCCCGTGCACCTTTCGCCGTCACCATGTAACCGTTTATCGACTTTCGCCAACCTATCATCGCGCTTCACCTCTCCCGCTACTGAAACCGATAGGCGATAGACATTGGTGAAGATGGGCAATGGAACCATTGCGCGAGACTTCGAACCTAAAATATTCAAACTTAGTTCGACATCCTCTCGACCTTCGCTCGACATTCGCGTTCAAACTTCAAGCTTTCCCCCGTCACGGAGAGGCGGATTCGACCTTCGCTGCTCACCCGGATTCGAGCGGCGGCACGTTCGTCCCGATCGCGCGGATCCTCCATCCCCGCGCGGATAAAGTGCTCCACGAACTCCATAATGAACGCCATGGCGCTGCTAACGAATACGCTTATATCGGGTACAGCAGCTCAAACCGTGACCGGGAAGCGAATCTACGGCAGGAGCACTGGGGAGCGAAAGCCTGTGGCGGAAAGGCGAACGCGCGAAGGGTAACCGGCAAGTTCTGAAGAACAAGAGTGGGAAGAAATTGAGCGGGACGGAACGGAAGTTAAGAGAATGGCCGGTTGAGCGGATCCGTAACGTGACAGCAGGCGGGTGATAAAGAGGCGACGAACGCGGGAACGGCGGAGGCTGCGGGGGATATGGAGGCGGCGGAACAGTGTACTAGGGGGGAAGGCCCTTGAGTAGGACAAGCTGTGCGACGACACAGGTATGCGGGAAGGCGTGGAGGAGTGATGGGGCGCAGCGAGCTTTAGCGACATTATGCGTTACAAGGGCATGTTACAAAAACTGTACGAACATAATCAGCTAGAGTGTGTAGCTGTGTATGGTGTTTAAACCATGGTACACATTCCTCTCTCGTCTCAGAGGTTCATCATTTGCCCGATCAATTCACCAGCACGAAGCAGTTGATATCAGTATGACGCGAATAATTTCACATCCGAACTAACCCCATTTACACGACAATAGGCTGTATCAAAAGTCTACTCTTGTTTCATCACATTGCACAACTCCAGGGCAAAACTTAGACAGTGAAATGCAGTACAACTACGCTAGCGATTCTTCCGCTGAGTAAGGGCAAATAACCCTTCCGTGGCTACTTGATTTGCTGTAAGCTTTCGTTTCTTCCCCTGTGGACAGACAATGGATGAAAAGATGGGAGAAAGTTTTGTCAAAGCAGTCACCACAACTGAAAGCAGAGCTCATTTTTTTTCGGAAAATAATTCTTTGTGAATAAGCAATCTCAAGGAAAAAAATGTAGATACGCATAGTCACCTTATCATTGTTGAACATCTCGTCAGCTGCAGCTTCCTGCTGGCGCTTCCTCTTTTGCTTCTGAATGTAGCTCTCCATGTTGTCCGAAGGGCCACTGCATGATAGTGGAGGAAGATTCACATGAAGAAAGCTAATATATACATATATAATATATATGTGTATATCTATATATGTATATGTATATACATATAGTCTGCAAAACCAAACAGACTCCATCTTGAGCCGAAGATTCAAGACAGCAGGTACAGAAGATTGAGCATGGATAAAGCAGCAGACAGGCGGTCTAGGAAGCTAAATCTGGGCTAGCAAGCACCAGATGTAGCAAGCAATCACATGAAGAAAGAGCATATTGGTATGGATTGGGAGAGCACAGCACAAGAATTCCACAAGTGTTGCTGGGCTACTTTTGAGATGCTTAAAAAGTAGAGCAAGAGCGTACCGGTATGGCTTGGGAGAGTACTGCACGAGGATCCCAGGGGTGTTGCCTGGCGGTGCCCCCCACACCTGCACACACGCAGTCGTGCAGATCAGGGGAGAATGGTTGTTGAGACATCTAAAAAGTCCGTAAGAGTACTGCACGAGGATCCCAGGGGTGTTGCCTGGCGGTGCCCCCAACACCTGCACAGACGCAGTCGTGCAAGTCAGAGGAGAATGGTTGTTAAGACGTATAAGAAAGTTTGGAAGAGTACTGCTCGCGGATCCCAGGGGTGCTGCTGCCTGGCGGGGCAGTGCCCCTGCACCTGAACACACGCAGTCGTGTAGAGCAGGGGAGAACGGTTGGTTGAAAAAGGGAGGGGCGAAAAGAGTCTATGAAACAGAAGTGGAAAACAGAAGGGTTATGCCACTGGTGTCATTGGTGTCTGTGCTGCCAACTCAGGGGAAAACAAGAATGTGGAAAGGTAGAACGCACGGCAATAAGGAAACACAAGTGGATGGCAGTAGGATGGCAGAAGCAGAAGTAAAAAGGCGGACTAGCTTCACTCAGCTGAGCACAGTATGCTCAGCTCAGAGGCGGTACAGGTTTTCTTTGTACTAAGTTTCGATTACTGCTCGGACGAAGCAAAAAAAAAAAAAAAAAAAAAAAGAATAAAAAAAAACGGAAAGCAAAAGAAAAGAAAAGAAAGGCCCATTGAACCTTTTTGAATCGCTTGAAGTTGGGCAGGGCAGAAGCAGTAGAGCAAGGGAACTGAGTTCCCTGGGTGCCACCGGCAGCAGCAGGAGGCAGCGGAGTGAAGGCCATGCTGTGCATCTGCTGCTGCTGCTGTTGCTGTCCCATTGGGGTGCCAGTAGGGGAATGTGGAGGAGAACGGACCACGACAAGCCCTTTAACAAAGACCACCTTGTTAATCACATCAGGTGGAAGCGAACTGCCATCCCCGCCACCACCACCACCACCTCCTCCTTTTGCTGCTCCTCCTGCTCCTCCGCCTCCCTCGCTACTCTTCATACCTTTACTCTTGCTCTTCTCACTCACTTTTCGCTCCCCCCCTCCCATTCCATCGTCTCCTTCTGCTTCCGTTTTTACACGGGCAGCACTAGGAGCAGCAGGAGAAGCAGTGGTGCCAGGGGCAGCTTGGCTGGGCAGTTTCCGGGAGAAGAAACTTCGAACATCACCAGACCGCTTGCCTCTTGCAGATGCTGCTGCGATTTCTTCTCCTGCTGCTCCTGCTGCTGTTCCTGTTGATACTGGCGATGCAGGTTCAGCCTTCAGGGCTGCTCGTGCCACTGCTCCGTTTAACACTGCTCCTTCTCTTTCTCCTTCTGCTCTTGCCCCTGAACCTCCTGCCTGCCCTACTCGCACTCCCACGCCTGCTTCTGTACCCTCTCTTACCCCAGCAAGCATCTCCTTTCCATTTTCTGTGCCTGCCTTTCTCTTCCTCTTACCACCACTACCATCATCATCACCACCATCCCCCACACAGGGTGCCAGCCTACCCACAACGTGTGAGGACACTTCCTGTACTCCCGCCGGCGCCCCTACTCCTCCTTCTGCTGCTACTGCATCTGTCTCAGCCTCTTCTGCAGCACTAGGTGCTGTGCGGAAGGTAGGGGAAGACTCGTCGTCTGTTCCGGCATCGCTGTCCGCAGCCGCAGACTCGTCGTCTGTTCCACCACCTCCACCGCCAGCAGTAGCAGCAGCATTGCCAGCAGCGCCGCCATCCTCTGTGGTGCTGTCACTGTCATTGCCACTGTCCGTGTGCGAGCCATCTGACAAAACCACTGCAGAGGCACACGGGGTTGTAAAGATGGAAAGGATGGGATGAATGAAGGTTGAGACGATTCAAAAAGGAAGCAGCGCCATCCTCCGTGGTGCTGCCACTGTGACTGTCATTGCTACTGTCGGTGTTGGATGCATCAGGTAGGAGCACTGCAGAACAAAGGTGTTTTGAGACGTCTCAAAACACTTCTTCAAACACCTGTCATTGCTACTGTCGGTGTTGGATGCATCAGGTAGGAGCACTGCAGAACAAAGGCACGGGGTGCAGAGATAAAAGAATGGCATGCTTTTTGTTTTTTTACGTCTCTACTCAAAAGCCAGCAGTGCCGTCCTTTGTGGTGCTGTCACTGTCATTGCCACTGCAGGTGTTGGCGGCATCAGATAGGACAACTGCAGAGGCACGGCACGGGGTTGCAGAGATGAAAGAAGAGCACGAATTCATTAGACGTTTCAACTCAAAAAGCAGCAAGCAACGCCATCCTCTGCGGTGCTGTCTTGCAAATCATTCACCGAGGCAATGCACCGAGGCAATCCACCAATCCATTCTCACCAGTATCCGCCTCGTCCAAATCAATGGCTGATTCGACCGCTGCCTTCCCTGCTGACTTCCCAACCTCCCGGGGCCATTCAGGAGCAGCAGTCATGCCCTCCCAGCTGCCAATCGACCCCTTGAGAGCAGCAGCTATCACCTTGTGCAGCACGGCCACTCTTAGGGAGAGAGCAGCAGGTGGGGGTGGGAGTGTGGACACGGTTGCTACTGCTGCTGCTCTTGCTGCTGCGGCGGCAGCTGCTGCTGCCGCTTCTGCCTCTGCTGCTGCTGCTGCTGCTGCCGCTGCTGCTGCTTTTGCCGTTTTTGTTGCTGCCGCTTTTGCTGCCCTAGTTGCACCTTTTCTCGTTGCTTTTGCAGGGGCGGTAGTGGGCGCAGGTGGTATGGACGACGGGGGAGAGAGGGCGGAGGGGGAGGAGGAGGAAGCGGGTCTGGAGAGAGCTGGTAACCAGCAGAGGAGGGAGCGAGAGGAGGCAGGGAGGCGGGAGGCGGTGGGGGAGATGGATTGAACCTGGCCGCCACATGCTGTGAGGAGAGAGAGTAGCACTGGTGGGTGGTACTGTGCACGTGTGCATGCACGGACACACAGAGAGACAGAGACACATGTACACACACAAATGCACACAGGAAATCATATGCACATTCACGCATGCGTGCGTGCACCCAAACACAGAGGGAGAGGGACAGAGGAATGTAGATGAGCAACACCTGTTTGGAGAAGAAAAGTGGAAGAAATGTGAAGACAAGTGCACATCACTCATTCACTCCCTAACTCATGCACTCACTCGCTCGCTCACTCACTAATTCACTCACCTCATGATCCCGTGTGCAAGAGACAAAGAGCACATCACTGAACACCCGCCGCCGATCCTCCACCACACCCAACACCACCTCCTCTCCCTCCTCCTCCCCTGCTCCTCCGTCCCCCCTCTCCCTTCCAGACACCCCCTCACCCCCAGCCGCCCCCTCTCTGTCTCCTGCTTGACTCCCTTGCACGCCAGTCGCGGCAGAATCAGCGGCAGTAGCAGCAGGAGGAGGGGGAAGGCGCAGGGCGACAGAAGCAGGCATCCAGAGACGGGGAGCATAGGCGCTAGGCGTAGGGAGGGGTGCGCTGAGAGGCTTGAGGGAAGATACCTGCAAGTGTGCACGGGTAAGGGGGGATGGTGGGGGAGTGGAGGACGAGGGGGCGGAGAGAAGGGGGGAAGAAGGAGGGGTTAGTGGAAAGGGGCAGGGGATGGAGTGAGTAAGAGTTGAGAATGGAGATTTCGAGAGCGTGTGCGCAGGGGTGGTCGGGTGGGCGGGGGTGGGGGTCGTGTGTGTGATCACACCAAATAAAATCAGCTCACACCAGATCACTCACTGCATCAAGCCATGCTGTAGAGACTACTGCATGCTCCTGCGCGTCACCACCTGCTGGCAGTGTACCATCACCCTCTGTGGCAGTCACAAAGACAGGCCCAGCAGCGGCAGCAGCAGCAGCAGCAGCAGAATTCGAATCTGCAGCAGTGGTGGGGGTAGCAGTGGTTGCTGCTGCAGCAGCGATGACATGGCGGTCCACCGTTGCGCCATGTGGCACAACGAGGTGCGTGGTCCAGGGCTGCCACGTTGGTGAGGATGGTAGGCCTGGGAAGGGGACATTGATGGGGGGGGAGGAGGGGGGTGAGGAGGAAAAGGAGGAGGAGAAGGAGGAGAGGGGGGTGTAATGGGTGGGATGAGAGTGTGATAGAGAGAACGCACAGAGGAGGACAAATGGAAGGAGAGGAATGGCATTCTCCAAGCCTTTACAAGCCAACAACCGATGGGCAGTGCGGTCTGATTTGAGAGGTGTGCCATGATATGGACCAGAGATGTGTGAGGTTTAGACAAATGCTACTGAAGTCAGGACAGAGCAGAGTAGATCACGGTAGAGAAGGGCAAGGAGGGGCCAAGCGTAAGTAAGGGAAACGAATGCACTGCCAGTTGAAGGGTTCCCTACAAGAACAGGCCCTGCAGCGGGCTGCAGTAGGTGAGGTGGAAACGAAGGTTTCTAATATACGCACCGCAGTCAGTGCTCTTCTGTATCCACTGCTCCCTCTCCCCAGCGGCAAAGGCTGAGGGTGGCAGGCACACGGCCAAGGGAAGGAACGACGCCCTGCCAGAAGCAATATGAGGGAGAAATGGAGAAGAAGACGTTTAATGCCCCTCAAAAGCCCTCCGGGAAGGCTGAGGGTGGCAGCCTGACAGGCACACGGCCAAGGGAAGAACGAAGCCCTGCCAGAAGCAGCAGGGGAGGGCGGAAGGAGGATGGCACACAGGTATGAAACTGGCAGGAAAGGGAGAAAACACAGATGAGAGCGCAACAAAATCGAATCAGACCGGCATCACGCCCAGCCCAAGCAATTCTTAAGTCACAGATAACACCAACGAGAAGAAACAATTCCAATACCAGGCTGGAACGGTGTGAGAGAGGACGGCATGGCATGGCATGGCGACATGACACCACACTCGCACCTAGGCTTCATAAGTCAACTCAAGAAACGATCCCCCCTCCTCCTGCTACAAGCTGCTGCACTGCCAGTCACGTCATGCCACACACCTATACTTGGGCGTGTTGGTTCCGAATGTGATCACGTCTCCATCCCGAACCTCCGCCTCAGCTTCGGGGTTTGTCTTCACCAGCAGCGGCGGAGCTGCTGCTTTGGAAGTTGCAGCAGCAGCAGCAGCAGGTAAGAGGAAGGTTCCAAGTTTTGACATATCCTTCACGTGAAGTGATGGAAAAGGTGGAGAGGAAGAAGCACTGTTTCTGTCGATACTGCTGTTGGCACTGTTGTTGTTGGTGGTGGCAGTGGTGGCGGTGCGGTGGCTGCTGCGCAGTGCATGTCCTCCGGCGGTGTTGTGGTGGTCGTCAGTGGAGGGCCAGCGGAGAATGAGATCGGCATGGTGGCGCGACACTGACTTGTCATCTGGAATGGTGATGTCGCAGCCTGGAAGGGGGGTGCAATGCATGGAGAGGGATACGAGGAATGCAGGAGGGGGGGGGGGGGAGCGAGAGCTTTCAACTCAACACTTGTCCACTTGGCTACTCGATAATAGCATAGTCGTGTATAGGCTACTTGAGGGGGCTACTGGAGGCCGCTAGCAGGGAGCTACTAGGGGAGAAAGCTAGCCTAGGGGACAGAGAGCAGAGAGAAGAAGAAAGAGAAGAGTGTGGCATTACGAACATACCCTTTCGTCCCACGGTGTACCGAGGCCTTGCCAGCACAAGCAGTGGAGCTGCAACAGCGAAGCAGCAAAAGAATTTTCATGGGAGGGAGTGGCAGAGGGAAGAACCAAAAAAAAAAAAGTAGGAGACGGAGATGACCCAAGTGCAAAAGACCAGAGCAAGAGGAATTGTGAACCTTTTATTGCATGTGCATGGAAAAAGAATCCTGAAAGGTGACAATGTATGCTCACAGCAACAAGTGAACGCTGTAAAATATGATCAGTTTGACGGAGTTTAGAGCGAGAAGGAGCTAATGTCACAGAACCTGAAGAATCGGTAATGGAACGTAGGAGCCAAACCATGGCTGGCTGCTACGATATTCCGAGCGGCGCTGCTGCTGGCGCTGCTGATGGCGCTGCTGTTGCTGTTGTTTCCGCTTCTGATGCCGTTAGACGGGTTTATTATGCTGTGTTTTATCGATGGGCTTCACTTTTCGACGGAAAAAAAAATGCTCCACTGGCGTTAATGCACGCCAGAGTTCGGTTAATTAGCTAGAGGCCAAAGGTGAAAGCCGGCAAGGAATGGCGACGCTGGGTAAAATGTCAGCAAATCGGGGTCCGGAATTCGGACATGAACGGAAGAACGGAAGCAAACAAAAGCATAATCGAGTCAGGAGATGATTGAACGCGTGAAGTAGAAGGGAGACCTTCTGTGGCGAAACAAAGTGTGGGGCTGGTATCTGGCGAGTTTTGCAGAACGAGCGTGGCGAAAGAGCTGAACGCGGCACTAGAGAGACTATGACTCGTCGCTCTACGTACATATCGCTACTCTTGCTTCCCACTGAAGGCTTGGCAAATTGAGGGATTTGTTCCAGTGGGCTCATTCATTTCAATTTATAGGTTCCCTGTGAACTGTTGGACATATATTGGTCATAAGTTTTCAATCTGTTATTAATTTATTGTTACACCATTCTTATGTTCTAAAGTGGAAGCTAACCGGTAACACATTTTCGAAACATTGCATCACGTTGTGGGAGATGGTGATATTGTTTTTCGCTACATGCAATCATTTTTTGGTCTAGGACATACGCATTCAGAGACGTAAAAGATGCAACTAAAAAGAAAAAAAAAATCTTGATCTTGCGGGGATTGCTGAAAACAAGAAAGGTGTGTTGTGTTTCCATAATTATGCTTCTATTTGTGTTGCCATTTTGCCTGAAAAATGAAGTGTTTTTAGTTTAGTTTTGATAGCTTGGAAGGTGTATGTTTCTGCTCGTGAGACTATCTCACTTCATTTTCTCCCAGCTGCAGGTGCCTCTGTCCTCGCTGATGTGTTTCGTGTAGGGAAGACGCGGTACGAAATCTGTTGTGCATGAGGGCCAACACATCAGAGCATACACAAGCTTCCAACCACCCAACACAAAACGAGTTCAACAGGGCCAACCTAGACCAGGCAGCTGTGGTGTTTCCCTTGAAATGCATAACCTTTGACAGCTCCGTATCCTAGAAAAGAGAAACGCTCATAGCCGCTTTGTCTTCATCGTCCCCACCATCAGTTAGTAGGCGCGATCTACAGTCTTTACTATGGCGAAAGGAATGTTGTGGTTTTTGCTGGTATGCGTTTTCGTAGCGATCGCAAGAGTTGATTCCTCCATTCCAGCCATTTTCACGTTTGGAGATTCTACGGCTGATGTTGGGGAAAACAACTACCTTCCCTTCTCCACCTTCAAGGCTAACTTTTTGCCGTATGGAATTGACTACATTCCGATGTCTGGTCGCTTCTCGGATGGGAGGCTTGTCGGGGATTTCCTAGGTGGGTTTTTTCGCCGTCACACAATGTTTGAAAAATCGTTACGTAAACTGAAGCTCGTTCTGTAAACCGCAGCTCAGTACGTGGGCCTTAATCCAGCACCTCCGCTGCACCAACCTAAGGCCAATTTCAGCACTGGAGTCAACTTCGCATCGGGGGGTGCAACAATAGAAAAGGTTTCTAACCCTTTCCAGGTAAATTCGTGTGCAAACCCATCATGTACCTGTCGCTGTTGTTTTTTGCTGACATGACACGCGTCTCGTGTTTTCCAGTCTATTGGGCTTAGTCGTCAAGCATTGGAGTTCACATTATTCAGCAACATTTCCCTGTTGAACCGCCAAGTAGGTGAATAATTCTGCTCATTCAGCTGCAACATCCATTTTTAGCGGCTTGTGGTATAATGCGTCACAAATGTGCGGCAGGTTGATGCATTGACTAAGTCTTTGTTCTTTTTCTCGGCGGGAGCCAATGACATCATTGCGTATGCGGCTATCAGTAACGGTTCCAGTCCTGAAGCTTTCATTAACTCGCTTGTGCAGAAAGAAGTTCGACTGGTGAAGGTACCTTTACGCTTTTCCACTCTCTGGTTCTTTTCTTTTCGATCCACTCACATTTTCGATATCCATACAGAGATTGTACAGTCTGGGAGCTCGCAGGTTCCTTATAGCTGGTGTGGGTCCCATTGGTTGCACCCCTAGTGTCATGGTTTACACTCAGGCTACAAACTGTAGCCGTGATGATTCTGTTAACGTTCTGGCAGCAGCGTTCAACATGGTTTTGAATCAGACTCTCATAGACATTCAACAGAATTCACTGCTTCCAAATGCGACACTACTGTTTGCAAATCCCTACGACCTTGTGTTGGGAGCATCAATCAACCCAGGAAGCTATGGTGAGGAGGTGGTGGTTCTTGAACTTGTTCCTGTGCTGCTGGTAGTACATCTCTCACATTGAATCTTGCTTGTGCTGCAGGATTTAAAGTTGGAATCGGCGCCTGCTGTGGCCAAGGGAAATTGAATGCTGAAGATTGGTGTGGTCAAAACGGTACTGACGTATGTTCAGCACCTCAAGACTACGTTTATTGGGACGGTTTGCATCCTACCCAAGCCATGTACCAGGTTGTGGCAATGAGCTTTTGGGACGGGCCCACAAACTTCATCTCACCCATAAATTTGAAAGCTCTTAGTGTTCAAGATCCTTGAGAATCTAGGTTATGCGAAGTTTCTCCTATCCTAGTACTGTTGTGTCAAATTATGTAAATACGATTGTGCTATAGGGGTATTGGTTGAGTGGAAACATAAATGGCACAAGCGTAGGTAACGCCACCGCATCATAACGGACTCGCATGATTAAATCGTTTTGAACCCCATAACATCACTGCTTTCCCCCACGGAGAGTGCCTGCCACTTGTTCTTCCCTCTCGTCTCTTAGTTCTAGAAGCCGTGCTGTACGGTATGGGGTTATCACAAGTAACGCTGCCACCGCGGATATGCGCGTACTCCGCGAGTGAACTATTGCCTGGCGGCAAGACATGTCTCACTTCCACAAGCCTTACCGCGGGAAGAGCAGAGGCGATTTTTGTTGCGCGGGCACCAAGAAAAGGACCGTCGTTGGAAATCATTTCTAGTGAACTTGTTGAGAATCTGAGCACAAGTGTACTCCTACGCACCCGCTTAAGAAGAAATGCATTGATCGCACCTGAGGTCTGCTTTCCGGAATCCCGAATCACAGGAGGCATAAGCGGAGTAAATCGTGGAATTATCAGAGGTCATGTTCGTGTTGTTGCTGCTGCTGGAATCGGGTCGTCTTCAGGCGATGCGGCAAGCGGTGGCGAGACTGTTAAGGAGCTGAAGCAGCGGCTGCTGCGGGCTGTGGGGGGGACTCAGAGGGGCAAGGTGAGTCCGAGATATCTCCGTTTACACGCTGCAGCGGATACCGGAAGGGGTACGGTGAGACACTTGGATCAAGTAGCGTGCGAACCATTTCCATTCAGATAACACCAGGAAGAGTCGTTGAAATATAGGTGCATCTAGACAAACAGTCGAACGATCTCTCCCCTCTGACCACACCCCCCGCCCCCTCCCTCCGTCACCCACGTTTTCCCATGCAGGCAGCTTCTCCCCAGCAGCGAGAGCAGATACTGCAACTAATAGAGGTGAGTGCAGCCGCCGCCGCAGCAGCAGCAGCAACAGCAGCAACAGCAGCAGCAGCTGCTGCAGGGTGCATGGTGCACGGAAGTTGAGTTGCCGATGGTTTGCCATGTCTGCTTGTGCTTCAAATCTCAACCTCTTGCTTCTTTTTCCTCCTATCAGGCCTTCGTGAGCCTCTTCCCCACTCACCGTCCACTTTCCGCCCCTTTTCTTTTTCCCGTCCCCTGCCCCCCTTGTCCCTTTCAATCGCATCAATGATTGTGCCACCCCCTCTTACCATACATTGGCATGACGGCGTGATGGCTTATCTTGGCATGGTGCATGATTACGTCCTGGCGTGCATTGTGGCATGGTGGCATGGTGGCATGGTGGCATGGTGGCATGGTGGCATGGTTGCATGGTGCCATGGTTGCATGGTGGCATGGTGGCATGGTTGCATGGTGGCATGGTGGCATGGTTTCATGGTGCCATGGTTGCATGGTGGCATGGTGGCATGGTGGCATGGTGGCATGGTGGCATGGTGGCATGGTGGCATGGTGGCATGGTGGCATGGTGGCATGGTGGCATGGTGGCATGGTGGCATGGTTGCATGGTGGCATGGTGGCATGGTTGCATGGTGGCATGTCTGCAGAGATTGGAGGCAGCCAACCCAACGCCCTCACCCATGCTGTCTCCCCTTCTGGGCGGCACATGGGCTCTGGTCTACATCGCTCCCACTGCAGGTGAGTGCATGGCACATGAGCAGTGGAGCGCACTAAAGGAGGGGAAGACACGTGAGGAAGGGGGACAGAAGGGAGGAGACATGAGGAGGTGAGGGGAGGACACATGAGGAGAGGAGGGGAGGTCACATGAGGAGAGGAGGGAGGACACATGAAGAGAGGAGGGATCACAGATGGAATGACAGAGTAAAACCTACGATGGAGCTTCTTTGAGGTAGAGTCTGCTGTCTGGAGTTCGCCCCCCCACCCTCCTCCGCAGCCCCAAACCTGCATGCAACATCCTCCTTCCCTTCCTTACAGCTGTTAACTTCACCTTCTGCCTCCTCCTCCCCTCCTTCTCCCCTCCCCATCCCTTTCCCCTTTCCCGCCTTGCATGCGGCATCATCCCCTCACAGCCATCATCCAATGCCTTGTATGCATTGGAGGAAGGCCCTTTCCTCGCTCGTTTGATTTTAAAACCCTCCTCTTCACCTTTCGCCTCCTCGTCCCCTTCCGCTCCCTCTCCCCGTCCCCTTTCCCCTCCCCCCAAACCTGCATACATACAGCCTCCACCAATACTTTTCTCGCTCTTATGTACCCCATTCCCTCATCCCCCCCTCTCCTCCTCTCCTCCCCTCCCCTCCTTCTCCCCCCTTTCCTTCCCTCCTTCCCACCTGCATACAGCCTCCGCCAATACGTTGGATGCATCAGAGGAAGGGCCTTTCCTCGCTCGTTTAAAGCCCGTGGTGTTTGGAGGGGTCAGGCAGAAGGCAAGCCTGCAGGTGGGAATGGGATGGGCCAGGCTTTTTGATCTACTCACAAGTTGGTTTGGTAGAGGATTTTTGAGGCGCCTCAAGTTTTTGAGGTGACTTCGAAGCTCCTCAAGAAGATAGGCAGAAGGCGAGCGAGGCTGCAGGCGATACAGGGCAGATACCTCAAATATCATTCCTTCCAAAAATAGTAATTCCTGCATGCGTTCATGCCTAAAAGCGTGACTCTTTTATGAACTTCTTCTCTCTCGTCCCTCCTCCGCCTATGTTTCTGCTGTCACCCTCACATCCTTGTACGTTTCACATGTCTTTCACACTGCATGGGTGGAATGCGTGAACGCTGAGCGTGGCAGATTATCCTTCCCGACGAGGGCCGGGCAGAGAACGTGGCACTGTTCACAGCATGGGGAGTTGATGGTACGTGCGTGCATGCGTGCATGCTGGATCTTGGTGGGCGTTTTGCCTCTTAGCATTGCCGCACACCAATCCCTTACTCCTCCTCCTCCCACACCAATCCCTAATCGTAGCAGGCGTTCTTTGACAATCCAAACAAGCCCTAAGTTTGTCTCAATCAACACAAAACGCAACCCCATGGCTCAGAGCCATCATCCTTTTGAGGTGACTTTTGAGTCGACTCAGAAGCCACCCCATGGCTCAGAGCCATCATCCTTTTCCTCCTTCGCCATTTAAGGAATTTCTTTTCGCGATTATAAATTAGAAGAAGGTGTGGTGTGGGTTAGAGTGAGAACATTTCGGCTCTTGCAAGGTTACCCTTTCACCCACTAGCCAATAGTTTTCGCCCATCGCCAATCACCCGTCTTACTTTCCCTTTATTCCATCTCCTCCCGTCCGCATGCCTTCCGTTTCAACCTACTTTTGCTGCACTTCACCCACACACCCCCTCCCGCACCTGACTCCACCGCTCTGCATCTTCAGGCGAGCTGCGGATAGACGCGGAGTGCAAGGCGCCAGAGCAGGAGAGCATGCGGGGGGTGCGGTCCACTGTTCGCTTCCTCTCCTTCAAGCTCTCTCTCGGACCCCTCTCCTTCACGCTGCCGCTCTCGCTCATCTCTCCCACTGGGTTGGTACCTTGTTTCTTGGTGCTTCTTTGAGGCGTCTCACGAGTTGTATCAAAGCAAGAGAGCATGCGGGGGGTGCGGTCCACTGTCCGTTTCCTCTCCTTCAAGCTCTCTCTCACACCCCTCTCCTTCACACTGCCCCTCTCCCTCATCTCCCGCACCGGGTATGCTGCTTCCTGCTGCTGCTGCTGCTGCCGCTGCCTCTGCTGAAACGAGTACTGCTGCTGCTGCATCTGCTGCCGCTGCCATTGCATGTGGGTGACAAAGGGGACAAGGCTGACAGGGGCCCCATGGTTCCTGTGTTTTATGCCACCGTCTCTCCCTCCCCTTCCAAGGTGACTTTTGAGTCGACTCCAAAGTCACAAGGCTGACAAGGCTGACAGAGTCCCCATGGGTCCTGTGTTTCATGCCACTGTCCCTCCCTACCCTCCCTCCCTCACACCCTCACACCCTCACCCCACTGGCTGATGAAGTGTCTGGGAAGGACGGGACTGACATTTATGGGTAAGTGCCGGTGACAAGGGGCGATAAGGGAAGCACTGTCCGACCGCCTGACAAGTATCATGTGTCATGTGATGTGTTCCACTCCACCCCCTGTCCCTTCCCCTCACTTCCCAATGCATGCAGGTAGATCGACGTTACTTACATTGATGAGGAGATGCGGGTGACAAGGGGCGATAACATTAACACCAACCGGCTGACAAAGAGTTTGTGTTCCTTAGCTGCCCGCTCTCCCTCCCACACTCCCCCTCCTCCCCTCAATTCCCAGTGCTTGCAGGTGGATCGACGTGACTTACATTGATGAGGAGATGCGGGTGATGAAGTGAAGAAGGGGAATAGCGACTCCCTCTCTCTCCCTCTCTCTCCTCTCTCCATCTCTCGTTCTTCTCACTCTCCCACCATTCTATCCTCTTCTCTCCCTCCCACCTCCCACCCTCCTCCCCTCCCTTCCCAACGCCAACAGGTGGATTGACGTGACATACATTGATGAGGAGATGCGAGTGACAAGGGGCGATAAGGGCTCTGTGTTCCTTGCCACACGCGTCAAGGCGTGAAGGGAAGGGGGAGGGAGGGGAGGCGGAGGGGAGGCGGAGGGGAGGCGGAGGGCAGGGTGGCGGCTGGAGGCACAGTGCGGTGCGGGGGAATGGTAGGGAGGTGCGAGTGACGAGGGGTGATAAGGGCTCTCTGTTCCTTGCCACACACGTTAAGGCGTGAGAGGGGAAGGGAAAAAGGGGTTGGCGGGTTACGAGTGACAGTGAGGAGGAATGGTTGGGTTGGGAGGAGCAGGTGTAGGAGGAAAGACAGTGAGGTGTCATGGTTGACTTTTGAGGCGCCTCAAGAGCAGGTATTGATGTCTGAATTGATGTTTATGGTACAGAGAAGGATGACTGGTTGACTTGATGTTAGAGATCACAGCTCCTGTAAAATATTAATGCAGTGGGGCCAATCAAAACAGCAGTTTATAAAGCCAAAAATGTCGCATGTGCAAAGAGGATTGAAATATATTAACAAATATTGGAGGGCATTTTTGTTCCCCTCCACCCCTGCTTTGATTCCAAAAAAGGAGCCGTACGGTACGATATCAGCAAACAATCGGAACTTCACACATGATGCACACAATGACGCAACAGGATCTCCAAGTGTCACTCCAAACCATCACTGTGCACATTGCACACCTACAGACTGCTCTTCCCTCTATCACACTGCGAATACACAAAGCTCTGCAACACATGTCACAAAGAGCCTCACTTCCCTTGTTTCACACCCTCCATTTTAAACACCACCACCACTACGACCACCATCACCCTCAAACAACCCCAACAGCGCCAGCACCACTACCAGCACCAGCTGCTGCTTTGCTACTCCTCTTGCCCCTCACTATCCAGTCCTCTCAACTCAGAACCAAGCTGCTCCCGACCTCCACCTACCACTCTCCTTTTACTGCCAATGCTCCTCGTCCTTTCCGAAACGCATACTCCCTCTTCCGCTCCTCTCCATCTGCTCCTCCTCCCCCCCTCCATCCACCCTTTCCGAATAAGACATAGCACCAGAGTGACCAGCAGCAACTGCTGCAGCCGGAGCAGCAGGAGTGGCAGCAGTGGAAGCAAGAGCAGCAGACGGCTCCATGAGCTGCCCGTGATAGGCCATGAGGCTGTACTTGCGCTCGTATCTGGGAGGAGAATGGGTCGAATAGATAGGGAGAAATGAAACGGAGACCGGGGAACAGGTGGAATCTGAAGCAGCAGACGGCTCCATGAGCTGCCCGTGATAGGCCATGAGGCTGTACTTGCGCTCGTACCTTAGAGAGCGGGGAGCATGGAGCGGGAGAAATGGAAGGGAGAGAGGTAAATGAAAGGGAGAGGGAGAAACGGAAGGGAGAGGGCGAAACGGAAGGGAGAGGGAGAAAGGGAAGGGAGAGGGAGAAACGGAAGGGAGAGGGAGAAAGGGAAGGGAGAGGGAGAAACGGAAGGGAGAGGGAGAAAGGGAAGGGAGAGGGAGAAACGGAAGGGAGAGGGAGAAACGGAAGGGAGAGGGAGAAATGGAAGGGAGAGGGAGAAATGGAAGGGAGAGGGTGAAACGGAAAGAGAGGGAGAAACGGAAGGGAGAGGGAGAAATGGAAGGGAGAGGGAGAAACGGATGGAGGGAAAAATGGAAGGGAGAGGGAGAAATGGAAGGGAGAGGGAGAAATGGAAGGAAAAGAGTCAGATTGGCAGCAGCAGGGGTAGCAACAGCAGCAGACGGCTCTATGAGCTGCCCACAATAGGCCATGAGGCTGTACTTGCGCTCGTATTTGGGAGCCGAGTGGGAAGTACATTCAAAGAGGGCGAAAATGGAAGCTAGCGAGGTGACTGCCTCAGATTGGGTCAGGGAAAGCTGGTTGGTTTCGAATCTGAGGCATCGAAAAGCAGGCGCCACACACCCACCTGGTTTTGATGACACGTCTGAGGCATCGAAAAGCAGGCGTTTGGCAAAACGAGCCAGCACGAACCAATTGCAGGTTTCCATTTCATCTGAAGCAACCTTCTGATCGCTCACCTGAAACCACCTGATCGCTCACCTGAAACCACCTGAGCGCTCACCTGAAACCACCTGAGCGCTCACCTGAAACCACCTGAGCGCTCACCTGAAACCACCTGAGCGCTCACCTGAAACCACCTGAGCGCTCACCTGAAACCACCTGATCACTCACCTGAAACCACCTGATCGCTCACCTGAAACCACCTGAGCGCTTACCTGAAGCCCATCATCCAGAAGAAGCGGCGAGCCAGGGGAGGGGGGAAGACTGCATAACCACTGGGTCCTCTTCGCTGCATGTCCTGAGAAAACGACATGTAAGTATAGTGGGGTGGTGGAAAAGAAGGATACATTGTGTGAGTGTGTGTAATACGGACGATTGAGGGGAAAGAAAAAAAAAAAAAAAAAAGGTGAAGAGGATTGGTGGACAGGAGGCGAAAAATGAGGAAAACAGTGCTCCCACAACTCCTAGAGCTCCCACTGCTCTGCTCCTCACCGTTCTTCACCCCTCTGAACCGCCCCTCACCTGGATCAGCTTCCGGACGATTCGTCTGCCCACGCCCTTCTGTTGATACTCCGGCAGCACTGCCACGTCGCATATGGTGGCCTGGAGGGGCGGGAGAGAAGCACAGGAGAGTAGCAAGGTTGTGGGAGAGAGCGACATTAGCAACAAGAGTAGAGAGGAGTTGGTAAAGCAGTGAGGGGCGCCCACGCCCTTCTGCTGATACTCCGGCAGCACTGCCACGTCGCATATGGTGGCCTGGGGGGGGGGGGGAGGGGGAGAGAAGCACAGGAGAGTAGAAAGGTTGTGAGGTAGGCCGCCGGCATAAAAGCTAGTGTAAATAAAAGGGGGGGGTGTTGGGGGGGGGGAGGGGAGGGGGAACGGGGAGGGGAAAGTGTGGGGAATACAGGAGGGGTGAAGAAGAGGAGGGTGGAAGGAGGGAGGAATGGATGGAAGGGTGGAAGCGACTGGATGGGCGTTGGACATGGAATGGGGGAGAAACTATTTGGAATTACAAAGAGCTGCTTAGCAGGCTTACGGGTTACAAAGACTTTACTACGCGTAAATGAGAAGGATGAGATGAGCTGGGCATTGCAGGGGGCATGAACAAAGGAAGGACAGGCAGGATGGCAGTTGAGGAGGAGGAGGATGACACAAAACGGATAGGGTACTACAGATCGATTCTTACTCTTAGCAGGCTACTGTGGTTCGAAACCAGCCTTTCTCAGCTGTGAGGATGACACAAAACGGATAGAGCATGATCGTTGGAGATAGAAGGCGATGAGGAGAGGGGAGGCAGTAGGGAAGGGGAGGAGGCAGGGGGGAGGGTGGGGGGAACTGGGATAGGAAAGGGGGAAAATTAAAGAGAGGGACTACAAGAGTGAGAGAATTTGTTTGAAGAAGTGTTTTGAGAGAATTTGCAAAACACTTCTTCAAACAAGAGTGAGAGAATTTGCAAGGGTTGGACTTACCACAAAGGACCCATCGGATATGGCTCTTCCCACGCCTGATACAGAGAGAGAGGGCAAGACGGGGGAAAGAGGGGAAAGGGAGAAGGGCTCAGGGGAAAAGGGGGATCAGGGGAACGAGGGAATGGGGAACAGAGGAACAGTCGAAGGAGGGAAAGGAGGAAAGGGAAACAAAAAAAAAAGCAGGAAAGGGGAAGGGGATTAATTGGATAAGCAGAAGGCACACGTGCATATGGGCATGGTTGAACACAGCACATGGGCACTCACCAATGGTCTTTCCGCGTTTGCCTGAGAGGCTGCGCTGCGACTCATCCATTACCACCACGATCTGATGGGTTGCATTGGCAGTGGGGGAGAGAGGGGGAGAGGGGGGTGGGGAGGAGAATGAGTATGTTGGAGTATAGGGGGACCCATTTAAGGAGACCCATTCAAGGAGACCCATTCAAGAAGACCCATTCAAGGGGGAGAGCAGCGGGACTAGTAAGGCGACTCAAAAGCTCGCCTGAGAGGCTGTGGTGAGACCCATCCATTATCACCGCGTTTTGATGGGAAGGGAGAGCGGGGGGCGTGTGTGTGTGTGTGTTGGGGGGGGGGGGGGGGGGGGGGGGGGGGAGGTAAGGGGAGGAAGGGGAAGGGGGAACGAAAGCAACAGAGCAGAGGCAGCACGCACCGAGTAGCTGTGGCGCATGGCCTTCATCACTTTCCTCGGTTCCCTCTCCACCTTTGAGGCGCCTCAAAAGCAGCAAGCAAGCAAGCACGCACCGAGTAGCTGTGGCGCATGGCCTTCATCACTTTCCTCGGTTCCCTCTCCACCTTTGAGGCGCCTCAAAAGCAGCAAGCAAGCAAGCACGCACCGAGTAGCTGTGGCGCATGGCCTTCATCACTTTCCTCGGTTCCCTCTCCACCTTTGAGGCGCCTCAAAAGCAGCAAGCAAGCAAGCACGCACCGAGTAGCTGTGGCGCATGGCCTTCATCACTTTCCTCGGTTCCCTCTCCACCTTGAGCGTGCGGTACCACACGTGCGCCACCTGATGGGGGGGGAGCGGGGGCGGGGGAGGGAGGACAGGTGGGGGAGGGGAGATCGTGGGAGGGAGGGGAGGAGAGAGAGAAGGGAGGAGGGGAAGAAGATGGGGGTTTTTCTACACTGTGATCAGGGAGGGGGTTTTAACATGAAGTATTATGTGAATTGGGATGGGATGGGATGACAACAACACGGCTCACTCAAATGTGCGGACGAAATTCAATCCCCGGCTCAGCTTCTCCCTGAGAGCTTCTCATTGAGAGCTTCTTAATGGTTAAGTCAAGTCTAATAAGCATTGCTTTCCAACAAGCAACACCTTCAGGTTTTTTATTGCATCGCTGTGCTGCGCGACGCAGGGTGCATGCATGAATGCATGCATACAGGCAGGCAGGCAGGCAGGCAGGCAGGCAGGCAGGCAGGCAGGCAGGCAGGCAGGCAGGCAGGCAGGCAGGCAGGCAGGCAGGCAGGGCGGCAGGCCAAACGATTGGCTGGTCGGTCGGCTTTTGGGTCGACTCAAAAGCTTGCAGCCGAGTGCTGTGCTGTTCATGCAACGCAGTGCTGTGCACGCTCACCAAACGACAGGCTGGCTGGTCGGACCACACTACAACTGGCACTACGGGATGCGTATAACAATTAGTAGTTGGTAATTACTAGTTAGTAGTCAGTAGTTAGTAGGTAGTTAGTAGTACCCACGCACCGCCCGCCAGTCCCCTTCTCACCCTTGTTGTGTGCATTTCGCGCTATTAGCTTCCCTCTTCACTTGATTCCCATCCGCTCACAAGCTCTTGTCAAAATACCACCTTCCCCCATCTCTCCCACACCTCTGCGCCGAACCCATTCCCCAGTCCCCTGTCCCTCACCCGCACATCCTTCCCCCGCAACCCCCATTTTCCCCACCCGCCTTCCCCCCCATCCCTTTCTTCCCTTCCCGCAACAAGAAGGCTCTCCCCAAAGCTCCTCGAATAATGCTGAAGATTCTAGAATATTCTAAGTTGTTTATACTTGAAAGTTCAATGATGAGCATCTTATTTATGAATGCAATGCTCGCGGCCAAGCATCTTCCCTGCCCATCCAAAAAAAGCCTCCCCTCACTCCCCCGCCCCACCTCTCTCTCTCTCTTCCTCTCACCTCGTCGGGATCCACGTCAGCAAGGCTCGAGCTGTACGTCAGCGGACGTGGCAAGAAGCAGCGGCTCGGCTGCCCCGCAGGCGGCTGCCACCGCGCCTGCCCCGGTACAGGCCGCTCCGTTAACCGCGCCCGCAGCAACGGTGGCTCGTCCACTCCCACTGGGCTTCTCACGGTGATTGTGTTTCGTGAATCTAAATGCGGAGTTTTCGGCGCAACTTGCGGCGCCACTTGCGGCTTCTTTTGCGCCTCCAGATCGAGCGCTGCTACGGCCGTCGTGACGGCACCCGCAGCGGTTTCGACGGCAGCGGACGCGGCGGCAGAGGCGGCAGCGGCGGCGATGGTTGCAGTGGGCGCAGCGGGGCCGGATGATGCGGAAGGGGGTTGCGGGCCGCGAGAAGCGCCGGGGGAAACGGGGCCGGTAGCGGCGGCGGCGATTGCGGGGACGGGCGGGAAGCGCGCGCAAGTGCGGACGACGCGCGGGGGAAGAATTGCGGCAGTGCCGTGCGGGGAAAGCGGCGCCCGGTGGAAAAATGTCGGGAGCTGCGCGGGACGGAAGGACGCGCACACGCGAATATTCGTGAGGAGAAGAGACGACGCGCAAGAGACGAAGGGAGAAGTGAGGACATGAAACAATCATGGAGAGGTCTTAATGGAACTTGTTAGTAATCACCTAAAAGTGATTATAGCCAGCATTGCAGCTGGTTGCATGGTGTTTTCGACAAAAGAATACAGAATAAAAAGCACGATTGCGATGCGACTGAGTCAAATTATAAGAAACTAGAACGCATTCTCAGTATGCCTAGTTAAATAGCGTCGGGGGTGGCTTGAGAAGCTTCAAATGCCCAACATACTGTCGAGTCGAACCCGACACCGGAAGCTACCTGCAACGTTGACTGATGCTGCCGATGCCATCGCCGATTGTGATTCCGATCATCGTGCTGTTGTTGATTAAAAGAGCTTCCGCTGTGAGCCGTGCTACGAGCCGCGCTAATCGCCGCGTTAATCACCGAAGGAGGCGGCTTATGCGGCCTGTCAAGCGTCGCCCGTGAGCAGATAAGCGGGGAGGCGGCGCGGGAGGACGAGGAAGGCGGAATTGAGAGCGTAGGACCCACAGGCGCCACGAGTGCCGCCATGGCCGCAGAACGTTGGCCTTGAGCCGTAGCGAAGGGCGGAGCAAAGGGCGGAGTGAAGAGCGGAGCCACGGGTGATGCTAAGGGCTATGCTCAGGATGACGCTAAGAATGTATGGTACCGATGTGACCAATCACAGCCCGAATAGAAATGGTGTTACAAGTGACGACAAGGGTGATGCTACAGTTGAGGCTACGGGTGACGCGCGCTGCCAATAAATATGGGGACGGTGGTGTATCGGCTGGTTCAAGCGGCTCGAATCATCTCCGCGCAAAGAGAGGGAGCGGATTTCTTCTAATAGCTTCCAGGACTAATGCCACACTTATCGCGGTCTCCTGTAGAACGGACGATTAAGGACGAAAGGTCCCGCGTGAATTCTGGTAAATGATAAATATTCCAGGCGTCTAAGCGTAGAACCGTGCGAGGGGCCGAAGACACGGGAGGACTGAGCAGGGAGAGAAACCGAGAGAAGGTTAATGTGGGATAAGGTTAGGGAGAATAAGAAGAGACGAGGGGGAAGCAGTTTTGATCTGTCCAGACAGGTAGGGCGCGAATTGCGTGCACTGGGGGGGAGGGAGGCAGGGAGGAAGTTAGGGAGCTAATGGGCCGTTCAAGGCGCTAGTGCTGACGCGGATAGTGGAAGGCTTGATAAGAAAGGTGCGATGGATGATCTGGAAAGAAGATTGGGTAGTGCAGGAGCGAAGGAGACAGATGGGCCTGCGCGTGCGGTGATCTGATGCGACGCGGTGAGATGATGAGGAGGAGAACGAGGAGGTGAAGAAGAGGTGTGAGGTGAGTCGATGACCACGACTTCAATGACTGATGCTGATTGGAAGGCCGCACCAGAAAGGTGACGCGACGCGTCGGGAGATGGGCAAAGGCGGAAAGGGGCCGCCCCGCCTCGCCTGGTAGATGAGCGGAGCGGAGGTTCGACTACAGCAGAGGGCGATGGGCTATGGATAATGCAACCAAGGTCACACAGGTGGATGAAGGAACTGGTCTACCACCCAACCAACCGACCCGCGACGGAGCGGGGTAAAGCGAGTGAACAACTGAAAGGATAGGCGAGGCAAGCGACCTGGTTTCGCCCTCCCCGAATTCCTCGGGCCGCCCCCTACTCGTTCCTCGAGGGATGGAGAATGTGGTCGGCTGTACCGGGTAATGGAATGAATGGGTGGTGGGTGTGAGTGAATTACACCGCTCAGCCGAGATGTTCACCTTTATACCGCTTAATATGTATCTTGAGGCGCACTGCAACCCTTCATTTGCCATTCCTCGTCTCATTTCACGGCGGGAGGTCCTACTTCCCCATCCCACCTGCCCTCCAATTCAACCAACGACGGTGACTGCTGCTGCATGCGGGGCACAATCACTCGGGGGCATGGAACTGACCACTGCATGGGGTTGGTGCTGGTGGTGAGGTATAGTTTTCGTTGAAGTACGTTTCAAACTGGTTCCGCACTTTTTTTTCTCGATCGTGGCTGATGTGAAATAACGGCTGCTTCCGCAAAGAATGGAGTGTACCGCGAGCGTGGGTGCGGAGAGGAATAGGGGGGAGCCGGGGAGGGGGTGCGCACGCACATATGGATAACTATGATGGAGTGAAGTGGTTTGACTGGAGTTTCAAAACGGTACAATATGTAAACAGTCTGGTCTAGCAGTGAAGCGGTTTGTCGGGAATATTGGTAAGTGTTGCGGGGAAGCAGCTAGAATGATGGACATTGGAACGGAGCGATGCCGCCTTATGATCAGGAGAGGGCAATTACGCCACATCAGCGGTGCGTGTGAAGTGCGCGGTTGAAAGACGCCCTCCTCGAACCGCTGCGTGTGCGAGTGACAGAGTGTAGTGACAGCACTAGAAAATGTTTGCAAGCTTGACACGTCAGGTACGCTTTACACTACGTGTTTATACGTCAGCCTCAGCCGCAACTCCCCTATTTCATTGACAAGTGTAAGGTGGAAATTTCAGAGGTGCTAGCAACATACAGGCAGGACATAACATAAATGACATTATAGGTCAAGCATATACATAGAATAAATATCGTAACTACGCTGCTGAGGAAGGCCAAGTGCTCCCCACCCTGCAGGTTTAAACCGTGGATCCGAATGAGCACATCACGCGGAAGGCTGGGAACAGCCAAAAAATCACGGATTTTCACTGCTCGCTTTGCACTCTTGTATAACTATTTTTGCGCCCCCTTCCAACCCTCCTTCATTCGCTTCATGGAGACACTCTTTGTGAATAAGACTAGGCAAGAATGATTGAAAGGAGAGGGGTTGAACTAGCAGGCAGTTGAGTACAAATAGCAAACCCTAGATTGGGCTGTACTCGCTATAGAGTACCCCACTGCAGGCTAGACAATAATAGCATTCTGACACTCTTCCCGCCCTCCAAATTTAGCAGACGAGAGGGGGAGTCAGCCAAGCGAGGAAGCACAGTCAGAAACCTCAACTGTGTATACCAAAACGCATAAAAAAAGCCCCAAGGCCTTTAGCGTTAGCTTCGCAGAGCCGATGCTTCCCAGTTGTTGCAACACGTCCGCCATGGAATTTCCAGCCTAGTTTTGGGTGAAAAGGTCCTCGAGCCGCACCTCCCACAGCTTCTTGGCATCCTTTTGGCTCCCAGTCGGTGTGGATCTTCGTAGCAAAATATTCTTGTTAAAAACCACCTTGCAGGATCTCCTTCCTTGAGACAGTTGTTTCCTGCGTGCGAAGTGGAGAGCGTGTGAGGCTTTGAAAAGCCTGCTCCCGGAGAGTGCTGCGCCCCTCCCAATGCTTGAACAGCTCTTCGTGAGCCCCAAACGTTTCTGCTCTGAAAAGAAGCTCCACCGGCCATACCATCAAATCCTCCTTGAACACGTTGCTTTATGTGAGAAACAGACTGGCCCTTCTCGCCGCGAGGCATGTAATGATGATTTCGGGGTCTCTCACCCAATTCCGCGTGTTGCCTTCGAGGTGTACAGCAACTCCCTGCTCCATAACCAAAAGCCATACGCCGCTGATACTCTATTCCATGACGTGAAACTGTGAAGTAGCTAGACAAGGTCCTCCCATACGTTCGCCGGTGGTGGATAAACCAGCACTTGAAAGGCGATAAGCGGTGTGATGAAGTAGTTCATGACTGTCGCCCGCGCTGAGATTGTCACAACTACAAGCACCCAGAAACGTTGAAACACTGCTTGGTTCTCTGTCCCTAAATTCAAGTGGTTTTTACCGCTCTTTGGCGCGCTTGGAACATGCTCAATCCCAGCCGCATAACAGTCTCGCTTGGCAACCTCCTATTTCGGGAAAAGGGCACCAGCTCAGCATTTCCAGAATAAAACGACAAAGTTTATTATACTTCACCTATTCTGGCTCGAGCGGTGCGAAGCTGTATTTACAGGGCGAAGGATCCGAACGCAACGTGTCTTACGAAGGATAGATGTGGCTTTTAAGAAACATGTGAGGCTGTATCCACAAATTCGGGCCGAGGTTGCGCAAACAAAGGAAGCGTGGTTCATTGGAGGAATGAAATTTGTTGAGGAAAATCAAGATGGATGGCAACAGTTTGAAGTGGACAACTGGCTTTGCAGCAATCTGGTCAGTGCAGAGGGCTAGGCCCACCAGGCCCTAGGATTCGTATTTGGAGGCAAAAGGCACACCTCTAACTCCTCACGCACGATTACGACCGTCTTTGTTAGTACATGCTAGTCCTCCCAGTGTATACTTTCAACTATCGTTTCAAATGTATATGCTAGTCCTCCCGGTGTATAGCTGCGACAAGTCAGTGTAGGCCAGTGCAGAAGTGATGAGTCAGACCCAAAACGCTCACGATAGAGGTCGTCGAGCCGGCGGTAGCAGCGGAGCAAGAAGTGGTCAGGGCGCAACAGGGATCATCAGGGCCAGCCCAAGCAGAGATCATAAGGCCAGTGAAGAACCGGTACAGGCATGGGCCGATGTTGCGACCACCGTAGCGAGCAACCCAACTAGTTGTATTGCAGCTGGGTGGTCCCCACCCCGCTGACGGGACTACTACTGCTGCTGCTGGCTCTGCTGCTACTAAACCCTTCTGGACGCCATGGCACAAGCCAGGGGGACGTGAGAGCGGCAGAGCAAGAAACAGTCGGACGTGGAAACATGGCGTGAGGGCTAGCCTACAAACCGGTGAAGAGGGTGGCGAACATAGCCTAGAAACATGAGGAACAACTAATCCATAAGCTTAAGACTCACTAGGAGACGTGACTGCGACACGCAGCCACCTTGAGCAACGTTGATGAGGAATGCTAAAAACTTTTCTTATACTGTAAACACCCGAACATAATTTCTGCTGAATTTGTAGACTCCCCGGGTGGCTTGTGCGGCGTGGGTGTTATATTTGACCTCGTCGTATATTCCCCCCCCCCCCCCCCCCCCCCCCCCCCCCCCCCCTTTAGGGGGATTCTGTATAAGTCTTGCGAGGAGGGGGGAGGGGGGGGAGTGGGGGGTGGGGGGAGGGGGGTGGGAAGCTATGTGTGGCAAAAATGTATATTTCTCTTGTATTTGATACGGTTAAGGGTGCAATTCACTACTGAAACAACAACAACGTCCACGCTGGTGCCTAGACTCAATATTTAGGATGAAACGGCAAGTACATCACCGACTCACAGCCTCATGGCTTTGCAACAAGGCGCTATCTATGTGCTATCTCCTCATCATCCCGTGCATGCCACTCTTCAACCTCCTCTCCGTCACGGTGGCTCGGATGCCAGTAGTCATCTTTGTCATCGCTGTACTCTCCTGCCTCCCTGCCTTCTGCAGGCCCGTCCCCCTCCTCTGCACCCGCCACCTCCGCCGCCTCCACTACATCATCATCTTCCTCTTCCACCTGCAGCTCCCCAGCCAGCATGGGGGCTTCGGCGTAGAAGGGGTTGACGATAGTTTTATTGCGAACCAACTCATTGGCGTCGTCAAGCACCTCCACCTCAACCTCGTTCTGCAAATAGACAAGGATGAGGTGATCGTAAGTGCTGTCAGTGCTGGCGGAG